TGAGAGAGTGAGTGAGTGTGTGTGTGAGAGAGTGAGTGTGTGTGTGAGAGAGTGAGTGAGTGAGAGTGAGTGAGTGAGAGTGTGAGAGTATGCGCACGTGTCGCTGGTTCTGCTTCTTGTTTGAGTCTGATTTCCACACACACTGTTTGCATGTCAATGATTAACACAAAGGCTGACCTCTAAAGCGACGGCGAGGTCACACACATTACAGGTATTTATCTGAGGGACGAGACGAACGCTCTCCGCGCGCATCATGAATCAGACGGCAGACACCTCGCTTGTGTTTTCTTCAGTCGCAGGAAACGGCCGTCAGATTTATAGCGTGCTGATGCTGAGCAGACACCTCCGCTGATATTCCTGCTGCCTTTATGATATTTACTTAAACAAGGAATTTGTTGAGCGTAAATTTAGAGCTTTAGTGAAGCACAATAAAGTTCCCAGCGCTCCGGCTGTGTTCAGAGGCCCGGAGGTGTCTGGGAAAGCCACACTGCAATCATCGTTACGCAAACGTGCGATGCTCATCGTCAGGCGTCGGCGCTCGTTCTCACGCTGCAGGAGACACAAACTTCAGACTGTGTGTGTTAGCATGAGAGAAAAGATCATCGGATCACATAAACTCACACTGGACACAAGTGAAGAAGGAACACTTTATCAGACACTTCATCACGGTTCTCCTTCACCGTCCAATACAACAAAAAACTAATAATGAAGAGTCTGTTGTTCTAAATGCATAAGCACAACTGATATTTACCTAAACTTCAATCATCAGCAGATGCTTTGAGGTTTAAAGATAATTTCTACATCAGTTCAGTCAAATGTGTCCAAACACTGGACTAAAACGGGTTGTTTTTTGTTTGTTTGTTGTGAATGTACATGAGACGCCCACAAATACCCAGAATCCACCTGCCCTCTGAAGCCTTTCAGCTTGAAGTCAGTCAAACGTGTCACGATTCTTCATAAGAAGAGTGTTTGCGTGTGCAGTGATCAGATGTGTGTGTGTGTGATTTGTGTATTTTGGGAGGGATTTATGTTCATCACATTACAATGTAGTGTTGGTAGTGAAAGCTGTGTGTGTGTGTGTGTGTGTGTGTGTGTGTGTGTGAGTGAGTGTTAGTGGCCACTTACGGCAGAATAAACAGGCCTGCTGGGCCAAAAAGAGGCCACACTCACACACACACACTCACACACACACACACACACACTCACTAACACACAGAGACACACACTCACTAACAAACACACAGAGACACACACACACACTCACTAACACACTCACACAGCAGCTCTTAGCTTTAAAAACAGGCCTGATGAAGACGTCGTTCATCTTCCTCCTCCCACATGATCGCGTGTGATTCATCTGCATCTAAACGGTGCCACACGCTCAATTCCTGTGATTTCGTGGTCAGCTACATGAAACGCCGGCGGCTAACGAATGAGAGGCGTGAATGAATGAATCTGCTATGAGGTCAGAGGTCAGCGGTCACTGACCCCACACAGGGACGAACTCTTCTAAAGATTCAGCGATACACACGAGATCAGCAAACAACAGTTTATCCTTAAATCAAGATGCAAAATGCAAAAATCGATATGAAGTCTTGTTTTCTGAGAAATTGATCAAAATTAAGTTTATGATTAAACCAAGAGCAAATATCTGCCAATGGACTCAGAAAAATCAACTTAATACAAAGACAGAATAAGTTTTCATTCCTCCTTGGCAGATATTTGTTCATATTTTAATCATCAGTTTCTCAGAAAACAAGACTTCATTTCTTCATTTTGTATCTCCAGTAAATGCATCTTGATTTCAGGATGTACTGGAAAACAAGACAGAAACACTGAGGAAGAGATTCATTTAATGCCACGGCTTTATGAATGTAAGATTTCTGCTCTGATTTAAGAGCTTTTAAGGCCTTAATTTGAGGAAAGGTGAATTAAGACTTTTTAAAGACTGTCTTTAAAAAAACACAAGTTTTTTATGCAAGCTTTACAATTTTATCTGCATCTTGCCATTTCTATGCAGCGATTTTTATGCAATATCCCAAAATGCACATAAAAACGTAAAGACAGAAACTACTGATCATGACACATATGTAAACTGAAGAATAAAGTGTTTGTGGCACAGGAAGTCATGACTCCTGGAGGAAATCCTGCTCTGATCCCACAGGGAAAACCAAATAAATGAGGAACAGTGTTGCACTCTCCTCTCAAACATTAGTCTCCGGACGGCAGATAATCCTGCTTAACTGAGCACTTCAAGAGTTTAAGAGCAGACACACAAACAAACTCCGGCTTTCTGCAGCTCCACCATCCATCAACATCTGTTCTTCACTTCAAACACATAAGAGACTAAGCACCAGATTTACTGAGCACGGATCCCATCCCATGAAAGCGCTGATGGGAGTGTTTAGTTCTGCTGATTATTAAAGACTCAGATCATTTCTATCATGACCAAACCAGCAACGACCGGCCATCTCCAGCGTTAAATAACGGTGCAAACACCAGTGAACTGACTAGTGATTTAAACCCTTTCTGCTGCAATTCTGTTGTAAAGTCTAACTTTATTATAACTCAGCTCTTTATTTAAAGTTGCATATGCAAGTAATCTGTAATCTGCATACATACAGTACCGTGTGTAAACTGATATGTAGCAAATGCAACTATATTCTCGTCCAGCTCTAATCTGATAAATGCGACTATAAGGCATGAAGATATTAAGATATTATAACCGTGAACATAAACATGTTTTCTGCTTTGTTGCGGTGTTGTGAAAAGCACTATATAAATACATTTGACATGCACTAGGATGCCTGCTCAAACCTCCTCGTGTTCCTCATTCAGCTGAGAGAGCCACTGTCCCACAATGCCGTGCGTTTATCTCTGTGCCGCTGTGGAGCAGACTGAGGGATAATCAGCTCGACTGCGGCTGAGGATGGCCTGAGCTTCACCGCAGGACCCAGGATAAGAGCGCATCTGATAAAGCAGCGTTAGCCAGCTCATTACACCGCTAGCGTCTGGGACCGAAGGGAGCCCGCTGCTTCCTCAATATAAAGCTCGTTCAGGGAGCGCTTCAGGACTCCGGGGTTTTGAGTCTGACCGCTGAGCCGCAGCACCGTCTGCAGACGACTGCTTCTGTTAACACGTGACCACACGCGTGTACCACGCTCCTGTTCATCACGACAAACACACAGAACTGTGTGATCCAGCACAGATTTCTGCATCCACACAATAAAAACCCCACACAGAAGCCACAAGAAAACAACCCACTGCTTTTCAGTTCATGAGTGCGAGTCTGAATTGGCCACGACACACAGGAAGTTGAACTTGAATGACAGGAAGAGAGAAATTTACTGAATTGTAATTCAAAGTAATTCATGACAGATTAAGTGTCCTTCCAGTCTTATACACAAACGGTTATTTATTACATAATTTAAAACATATAAACTAAATACAAACTTGCATAGGTAGAGTTTTAAACATCTATCTGGCCTACAAACATCAAGGCTTTTTAAACTCCTTCAAAGTTTGACTTGAGTTTGTTTTTCTAGTTTAAAATGAATTTCAATTCCTTTTTACACCTCTTTCCATTCGAATCGATGTGCTGTAGTGGAATGCTGTGGTGTGGAGCTCACCTGGTTCCTCCGAAGAGGACGATGCGATCTCCCAGCATGCAGCAGCACTGTCTCCGTCTGGGACACGGGCCTTTGCCCTTCGGCTCCAGCTTCTTCCAGGAGAACGCCTCTGAACACATGAATACAGACCAGCGGGAATCATTCTGATGCACATACAGTGAGGCCAAACACTGAGCCCACTCTGGATAAAACTTCAATGCGGAAACAAAATCAAACAAGAATTAGCCCTGTAAATAAATAGATAATTATTAAATACAGTTTGAAGCAGACATTTAAAAACCTACAGCACTTTTTCTGACTATAACTGTCTATCATTGCACCCCTAATTTTTTTAATTATTGTAATTCAATTGTCTTAAATGACATAAATATTACTAACTAAACCGAGCTGGACAAACGTATGTTTAATGAGCAGCTCAGAATGAGAAGAATCACCTGGATTGAACTTCCAGAGGTCATTGAAGTGTCGATCCAGACGAGCATTATAACCACCAAATATGTACAATTCTCCATTGTAAGCAACTTTCAGAGAAAAATAAAGAGAAACTGAGATTAATAACCAAAACCATGCAGTTTCAGCTCATCCCAGCGTGTGTGTGTGTGTGTGTGAGAGAGAGTGTGAGTGTGTGAGAGAGTGTGTGTGTGTGAGAGTGTGAGTGTGAGAGAGAGTGTGAGTGTGTGTGAGAGTGTGAGTGTGTGTGTGTGTGTGAAAGAGAGTGTGAGTGTGTGAGAGAGAGTGTGTGTGTGTGTGAGAGTGTGAGTGTGAGAGAGAGTGTGAGTGTGTGTGAGAGTGTGAGTGTGTGTGTGTGTGTGAAAGAGAGTGTGAGTGTGTGAGAGAGAGTGTGTGTGTGTGTGAGAGTGTGAGTGTGAGAGAGAGTGTGAGTGTGTGTGAGAGTGTGAGTGTGTGTGTGTGTGTGAAAGAGAGTGTGAGTGTGTGAGAGAGAGTGTGTGTGTGTGTGAGAGTGTGAGTGTGAGAGAGAGTGTGAGTGTGTGTGAGAGTGTGAGTGTGTGTGTGTGTGTGAAAGAGAGTGTGAGTGTGTGAGAGAGAGTGTGTGTGTGTGTGAGAGTGTGAGTGTGAGAGAGAGTGTGAGTGTGTGTGAGAGTGTGAGTGTGTGTGTGTGTGTGAAAGAGAGTGTGAGTGTGTGAGAGAGAGTGTGTGTGTGTGTGAGAGTGTGAGTGTGAGAGAGAGTGTGAGTGTGTGTGAGAGTGTGAGTGTGTGTGTGTGTGTGAAAGAGAGTGTGAGTGTGTGAGAGAGAGTGTGTGTGTGTGTGAGAGTGTGAGTGTGAGAGAGAGTGTGAGTGTGTGTGAGAGTGTGAGTGTGTGTGTGTGTGTGAAAGAGAGTGTGAGTGTGTGAGAGAGAGTGTGTGTGTGTGTGAGAGTGTGAGTGTGAGAGAGAGTGTGAGTGTGTGTGAGAGTGTGAGTGTGTGTGTGTGTGTGAAAGAGAGTGTGAGTGTGTGAGAGAGAGTGTGTGTGTGTGTGAGAGTGTGAGTGTGAGAGAGAGTGTGAGTGTGTGTGAGAGTGTGAGTGTGTGTGTGTGTGTGAAAGAGAGTGTGAGTGTGTGAGAGAGAGTGTGTGTGTGTGTGAGAGTGTGAGTGTGAGAGAGAGTGTGAGTGTGTGTGAGAGTGTGAGTGTGTGTGTGTGTGTGAAAGAGAGTGTGAGTGTGTGAGAGAGAGTGTGTGTGTGTGTGAGAGTGTGAGTGTGAGAGAGAGTGTGAGTGTGTGTGAGAGTGTGAGTGTGTGTGTGTGTGTGAAAGAGAGTGTGAGTGTGTGAGAGAGAGTGTGTGTGTGTGTGAGAGTGTGAGTGTGAGAGAGAGTGTGAGTGTGTGTGAGAGTGTGAGTGTGTGTGTGTGTGTGAAAGAGAGTGTGAGTGTGTGAGAGAGAGTGTGTGTGTGTGTGAGAGTGTGAGTGTGAGAGAGAGTGTGAGTGTGTGTGAGAGTGTGAGTGTGTGTGTGTGTGTGAAAGAGAGTGTGAGTGTGTGAGAGAGAGTGTGTGTGTGTGTGAGAGTGTGAGTGTGAGAGAGAGTGTGAGTGTGTGTGAGAGTGTGAGTGTGTGTGTGTGTGTGTGTGTGTGTGAGAGAGTGTGTGTGCGAGTGCGTGTGTGTAAGAGTCTGAGTGTGTGTGTGAGAGAGAGTGTGTGTGTGTGTGTGTGTGTTTGCTCACAGGCAGAATGGCTCCTGCGTCCCTCAGGCAGCAGCTGCGCAGACGCCGTGTTTAGCCAGCAGTTTGTCTCCGTGTCAAAGATCTTGATTTTATTGCAGTAGATCTCATTGTTGGAGTGGAAGGGGCCGAATCGATCCGCAGTAGCAGAGTGGAAGTCTCTCCATCGAGCCGGAGTGCCCTGAGAGACCAACACCACACGCCTCAGACACAGACAATGATGTGGCAGTGAACACACACTAACACACACACACACACACACACACACACACACACACACTCACACACA